GGGGAGGAGAAGGAGCGGGGAGGCACGGGGGAGGATCCTGGATCCTGCTTGTGGATCCAGGACGTCCTGAGGGACGTGGCCGCACAACGCTGAGATGAACGCACAGACGGTGAGCTCTACGCCACAGGGATGTCACCTCCCTCCGGAGAGGGACCCTGTGCAGTGAGGCTGTGGGTGCTCTCTCCACTGGCCTGAACTCTCCTCCGGAAGCCCGCACAGGGCTGAGTCCAGCCCGGCCAGAGTTGTCCGCAGTCTCGCGGGCCTCTGCTGGGGGTCCGAGCCCGCTCTGCCCCTGCAGGTGCGGGGCTCACCGGCACCCCTGTCTGCGCACAGCAGGGTCCCTGTTCCCCTGCTGGAGTGGCGGGGCCCGGCCCGAGACGCTCCAGGCCCACTGCACCCGGGTGCGCAGGCCCCGGGGAATGGCGCCTCATGTTTCCTCACGAGGCCTGGGAGGTGCTGGGCCTCAGGAGAAGACTATGCTCCCTTCAAGCGCTGCCTTGCAGTTGGCAGGACCAGGGCACAGGCAGGAGTTGGAGAGAGGCGAGCAAGGGACAGGGAGCTGGCAGAGACCACTGGTCAGATCGGTGCGCACACACTCACCTCCGTAAGGGGCAGGTGTTGGTGTCAGAGATGGAGAATAACGGGGGGTGGGGTTCGTCACCGGGAGTGGTCTGCAGGTGGAATGGACTCAGCTTCAGAGAGAAAAGAAAAGAAGGGAGGGGAGAGAGGAGAAAGGGAGGGTAGAAACGAAGGAAAGGGGAGGGGAAGGAAGGAAAGCAGGCGAAAACCTGACTGGACTGGGTCCTCCCGCCCCTCCACTGTGCTCAGTAGAAAGCGGGCCTCCTACAGCACAGGCGCAGGTGCCCATGAAAGCCTGGACTCTGGGTGCTCCGGGTCACCTCCTCCGAGTCCCCACACAGCCCTGAGAGCTGATGCTGGCTCAAACCCGCAGGAGCCACCGAAGACCAAGGCTCTCTGTCTCAGAGGTCCTCCTGCCATCCCAGCCCCCTGCTTCTGCCCTCTCCCTTCCTGGTCCGCGCTGTCAGCCCTGTGCCGAGGCAGGACGAGGCAGGACGAGGCAGGGCGGTGTGTCTGCACGGCACAGAGGGAAGCAGATCCTTGGCAATGGCAGTGCAGGCCAGGACCATTCAGAGTTAGGTAAGAATACAGAAAAGGGGTGAAAGACAACGGCAGGAAGCCCCTTCTCCTCCCTGCTCTTCCGGCCTGGTCTTCCTGGGAAACTGGATCCAGCGAAGGAGAGGACACCCGCAGGCAGGTGTGGGCTATAAGCAGATCTCAGGGCGAACGCTGTCCCCCTAGGGGTGCACTCTGTCATACTGTGAGAGCAGAGCCCGACCAGGTAGAGACAGGGATGTGTGAGTTGTTTTCTCTAAATGGAAACCTCAGTGCAGGTGCTCTCAGATAAATCAGAGGGTTTTGAGTCACAGTTGGGGCACTCGGTCTCTAAAAGGTTCCCCGTCACTGGCCTAGAACCCTGAAAACATCAGTTCCCTTCTGCTTCCCTTTTGTGGTTCTCCAGAAAGAAAGTACCTCCTACCCAGGCATGATGTGCACCCCTGTAGTCCCAGCACTGTGAGGCTGAAGCAGGAAGACTGAAATTTTGAGGCAGCCTGGGGAACTCAGTGATTAGTGAGATCCTGTCTTGAAAAGTGTGTGCGGGAGGGCGGCTCAGGGAAGGCCCTGGGTTCATTCCCCACTAACGCCCAAAAAAAGCACCTCCTTCTAGACATAGGCCCTGCATGCTAGTTGTCCCCTGTTGTTGAAGTAGACAAAGTGGGGAGAGCAGCAGAAAGAAGAAGCAAGGGATTAAGAGGGGGCACAGGTGCCAAGGAAATGCCCCAGGCCAGACAGAAACGCCCCGTGGCATGGAGCCCCAGAACTTCCTGTGGGGCCGGCTGATGCAGGAGGGGAGGGAGAACGCAAGCTCTTCTCCAAGGGTGTACTTCTTAAAGTGGCTGGCGACTAAGAAGTGGGAGGTGGGGAAGGGAGTGAATCCTTCAGTATCTTGATTGAAGATCAAAACAACTTCTATTCTGGTAAATTCCCTTCGAAACAGATCCTCAAGGGGACCAGGAAAGGGATGTTTCTTCCCCAAGCTTAGCAGGCAGCCTGGCTGGGCGCCATTTGGCAGCATTCCCAGAGGAGAGTTGGGGAAGAAGCAATGGTGCCCCCCCAAATGCTACAGCAACAGACACAGTTTGTCTGCTGGCTCCTGCCTGGGGGGCCCTTCAGCCCAGGTGCGTCCCCAAGATGCGGGGAGCCCACCTGCTTCAGTGACTGCTGGGCTGCCTGGCCAACTTCACAGTCAAGCATTGTATTGATCGAGTCAGAACTGGGGGTGGGGGGTCACCAAGCCCCCTGAGAAGCACTGTGTTTGAAACACCATTTGTATTCAAGGAGCTTTGAAGGGGGGGGGGATTCTACTGAAATAAACATGAATTTTTAAAAAATAAGAAAATGCAAAATTTGTATCATTTCTTAACATCAAATGTGAGATTTCAACTTCAGCGGGCTGCTTTGGCTCACGCCCCTCGGTCACCTGGAGCTGCAGGATCCTTCCTACCTCCCTTTCTCCTTATTTCATAAACAGGTTTGAAGGGCTCCTCTTCCCAGAGCCAGATGTGAAGCCACCACCATGCTGGAGGTCACCCTGCCCTGCCACACTTCCCCACAGCAGCACTCTCACATCTGGCCACACCCTGAAGTCCTCAGCCGAGCAGACAAACGATCAGAAAACCACAGGCCATCTGCGGATGGTCTGCTCTCCTGACCCACCCCAGGGCTCGAGTGTGAGTGTTTTCCAGAGCGGCCCCTGCTGCTTCTCATGTGAGGCCTGGGCTGGGAACTATTTCTCTTAAACGGAAGCCTGTACAGTCAGCAACCAGACCCTTTGGCCCACTAAATCCCATTAGTTTTTCTTCCCCTATAAACGCCAGGTATGTAGTCTGCTTTCTTTCCCTGCTGCCACCACCCACATCCCTTCTAAAACCATACTCCCTCCCACAGACTAGAACACAGGGTCCTCCTTTCTACCCCTACCAACCAGTTTCTGAGCTAACACCCAAAGTGAACATTTTCTAGGCATTTCTCACACTCCAGATGCTATGTTACACACTCTTCATTATTCTAAAATGGCCCAGTGAGACACATGTTAACCCTCCCCATTCTACAGATAAGGAACCCCGAGACCAAAAAGTTAAGGAATATGTCCCAGATTTCTGGGATTCAGCCCATTACATCTGACTCAGAATCCACTCCCTTTCCAGGACAATAACAACATGTTGCCTTTACTAAGCCCCTCTCATCATCCTTTTTTTGGGGTACTGGGATCCAACTTGGGACCTTGTGCTTGTGAGGCAGGCAGCACAACCACTGAGCTCAATCTCCGGCCCTCACCCTCCTTTTTAAAGATGTGTACCTGCCAGAGATGTAGCTCAGTGGCACGGTGCCTTCCTGGCAAGTGTGAGGTTCTGAGCTCGATCCCTGGTACAAAAACTTAATTAGTTAAAGATATCTTCCTTATTTTGAATTGTTTAGCCATCACTTTATTATAGGTCCCATACTAAAGTAAGCAGATAGTAGAAGAAACTAAAGTTCTAGGAACCTCACACGTTCCTAGAGGTCATTATTCCTGGTCTCTACTGAGCACCAGTGGAGTGGTGTAAGGAAGATCCAAGTCCTTAGACCTTTGGATGGGACCCTGGGAAAGGTCACCAGTTCTTGCCTGTAAGAGTCTTCTCCAAACATCTTCAGGTGGGGGCTACCCCCTCACCTTAGTCCAGTGGGGTTCGTGCAGTGGTGCTGCGTAATGTATTCCTGGTCTACCTTCTCCCCACTCCAAGGTTGACCGTTTTCCCTTTGGTGGTGCTAAGCAAATTCCCCTCACCACTGCACAGCATCCCCAGCCCTGGACTTGATCTTTAAACTCGGAGGAGAATAAGGGTGTTTCCTCCCCTGAGCTGCTCTGTACTTGGGTCTTGAATCTTGGCCTTTTCCTTGACCGTCTGGGTAGGTAAGGTACTTTCCTGTCTCTCCGATGAAGATATTTTTCCACACTTGTAAGAGTTCTGCACTGGGTCTGCACTCAACGCTCTGGCCCTTAATGAGGGACTTGGTGATTCTGGCCACTGAAGGTCCCCTCTCTACCTTTGGCCAGCTTCTCTAAGATTGGCCTAAGTTACCAAAGTAGTTGACTATATCCTTTCATGAAATTCAACCACTTCACCTCTCATTTAATCAACTAAATTTACACAAGGCCCCATACGGGCGGAGCGTGTACCATGCTTAGAGGCACAGTGACAATTGCTTCCCTCCTCCAGGAACTTGTACTCTTCTATAGTAACCGACGGTGGCTGCCATTCAAGGCCACCACTCCGTAGACTGCCTACTAGGAGCCTGTGTTCTTTACCTCACCTAGTCCTCCCAACAGCTCAGAAGGTAAAGGTCATTGTCTCCGGCTTCTGAGTGAGGAACCCGAATCCTACTGATACTTGAGCAACGAACTCAGATTCACAGACAAAATAAGTGGCGGAGCTGGAGTTTGAACATATTTCTGTGTCCGAGGCCTTGTTTTCTCATTTACCCTGGAGATTCTACAGATAGCATAGTAGTTTGGACCCCAGCCTCTAGATGCAGGCCTACTGAAGTTTAGAAACCTGGTTCTGCCACTTCCTTGCTAGGCAATCGAGCAAACAAATGAGCCTTTCTGAGCATCGCTGCTCAACTGAATTGTTTCCTCGTCTACAAAAATATATCATGATAATACCTATCTGGTAGGGTTGCGGTGAGAATCTCAGAAATGGTACCTGGCATGTTAGTGCTAATATCTAGGCCTAGGCACACCTGTAGTCGTTTAATTTTCTTGGCAGCATCCTGGAAACTGGTCTGTCTTACACTGATTCTTTCCAAGAGCCTGGGTCTGAGAGACCGGGTTAGATCTCAGCTCATTTACAGAACAAAGGCAATTGTCATGCAGTGGGTCACTGAATGTACAAACTGAGGTTTCTGGCTTTAGGGTTACCCTTTCTGCCGGCTTCCCTACTCTGCTCTGCTTGCCTGACTCAAATGCACTCCTACCTTCTAGAAGGTTGTCTTCTGGAATTCGTCTTGTTATCGTCATGTTAAGATATCAAGTATGCTGTAAGTACACACTATAAATAAGAGATGCTATCTATTAAAAGAGAAGTGTTCTCTGTCATATACATATTGGGAGAAAAATCTGAAGCCCTCAGTACATCCCTAAAACTTGGAACTTCAAGTATTTCTCCTTTCACAGCTAAAAGAAAACAAGTCTTTCCCCCAGATCCAACATCTTTATGGTGCTCAGCCTTCTGGAAAGAGGAGGCTGTCCATGGTGAGGACTTCTAATGACCTCTCAGTGCCAAGGGTAGGAAAAGCACCTCTCTTGGAAACTTTGGGACACCATTTTTGGGTGCCAGTGTAGCGAAGACTTTCCACAGAAATATCAGACCAGTTAAAAATTTCTCTCTGGCGTCAGGAGTTTTCCGGACAGGCCTGGATTGTATAACCACAATCATCTTTCTACTGACCTCTTAGAGCCAGTTCAGGAATTCTGCTTGGGTGAATTTTCAATCTTACCTCTTATCCGTGGGATGTCTGGGAGGGAAGGCTGTGTCAACACAGGAGTTGTTCGGTCCTGTCGTGTAGGTGGTGAAGAGGAAAGGGTTGGTGGTGGCCCCGGGAACATCACCGTCTTGGCTGGTGGGAATTTGAGTCAGAAGACATTTCGGTCCTCCGGGCAGGGTGGGTCCTGATGTCACAGGCAATCAGATGTGCCTGATGGTTGTGGTTTAACCTGCACTTTTCTGGAAGGAAGGAAATAGCAATCGCTTGAAACCTTGGAAAATCTAACTGGCCTAAAGGTCTAAGGGTTTTTCTTGGCCTGGTTGGCAGGGCTTACTCCATCCTGGATTGATTTCTGAAGATGGAGAGACTCTGCAAAATTCATTTCATAATTCTTTGCTGACTGCCCACTGGGGGCCGGGAATTCTATGCCCAGCTGGGGATGGGGCCATAAAAACGAATAACATGGCTGCTTTCTTCAAGTTGCCTGCATTCTAGTGACTGGGCAGCGCTGGCTTGACACCTCCCAGAAAGCAACCTGTGTCCCCAATGGAGCTCCTTCTGTGTGGTCCCCTTCAGCAATCTGGGCACATCAGTGTCCTATGATTGGCTTCCCATGTGAAGCCAAACCCAGAGGCTCTAGACCCCAGAATCTGGAAACAGAGCAGGAGTAGTCAGAATAGAGGTTAGAACCCTCCATTAGAGGCCAGAAAAGGGAAGTCTCGACAGTGGATGACTTTTCCCTGGAACTCCACCTCCCAACCTGGTCCCAGGCATCTCCTCTTGTCTTTCTTCCTCCCGGGCACCATTGAAAGAGCATGGATAAGAGACTAGGTGCAAACCTCACTGCTTTAGAAACAGGCAACAAACCCCATGCAAACCCTGCCTGTTTAGGCAGAGCTTGGTTGGAAAGGATCCCTGTCAAAATGTGGTCCCAAACTACTGACTTTCATTGTTAGAAAATGCAACATTAGCCAGCATGCTGGAAATGTAAAAAATAAACATCTGTACTCAATGGATTTGCCCGGGCTATCCAAGCTCATCAAAGATGTGGCAACCACATCTGGTTGCCAAGACCAGTGCCCTCTGTTGAAAAGCGCTGCTGTCTGGGTTCAAAAATGACCAGAGAGAGACTCGGTGATGCCTCTTCTACCGTGCAAGTGCAAGGTCTTGAGTTCGATCCCTGGTACTGAGCGGGGGTGGGGAGAAGACCAGAGAATTGGCTGTGCTTTATTTGAACCCTTTTCACACTGAAGCCATTCTGCTTTACTTCTAAGATCAGAGCTAGCTACATATGTATCTGATGTGTTATGAGCAGACATTATACTGAAACTTCTTGGTGTCGCCAACACTTACAACCATGTTTGGCGGAGAATGGATGCTTTCCTTCATTAAACTGAAATTACATATGTGTAGAGTCAGGAACAGAACTCCTGTATTCAGTCCCCTCTCACCTTTCCATTCCCCTGCCACCAGATTCGAGCAGATCGAGCCACTATCGTCTTGCGTCGCCTTGCTCACTACCTGCTCCAGTCCCCAGTCTTCTGGTCTAGAGTTGGAGGACAGTGGGCTTTGAGTCATGAAGGGTCAAATCCCTGTTTTGCCCATTACCAGCTTGTCACTTCACATCACCGAAGTTTCCAACACAAAACAACTACTATGATCATTAAACGAGGTAAGTAAGCCCCCATGTTTATAGCACATGGTCACCAAGGGCTCGTACAGTATTTTTCCTCTTTTAAAACTCTTCGTAAACCCTGAGAAGAGCGGGTCCTTGACAAGCACCTTCTGGCTGCACATTAAGTCACCGGCTCAAACCTCTTGAAGAAACCAAAAGTCCCGTCCGCCTTGACGCTTCTACATTCTTCACCTGCAAAACGTACAAGGGCCTTTCAGTTGGTAATTTTTTTTAACATAAGGAGTGTTTCCTTGTATGTTGGCACAAGACAGTTACTTGAGAAGAGAGCACGTAGGACACATAGGTCGTCTAAGCTACTGAGAGTCCACCTGACCCACATTCTAGTGGCTGTCACACTCCTCTCCTAGTTCAACTCCAAACTCGGATTCACCTATCCAGCTGCCTACACACAACTCCTCTGGAAAGCCTCTCGGGATCTCCAACGCAGCACATCCAAAGTAGAACTTCGATTTTTTTTTCCACCCAACTGTATTCCTCCTCATCCCTCCCCATGTCAGGAAATGGCACTGCCTTCTGCCCAGTTGCTCAAATGGAAACACTAGGAGTCACCTTGACTTTCCCTAATTCCTTGCATCTGATCGATCTGCAAGACTCCTCAGTTCTATCCGCAATCTATTGCCCCCTTTTTCTGAGCCAGCCCCACCTGCCCCTTCTGTCCTGGAGTCTGGGCTGGAGCTCCCACCCTCCAGCCTTTTCCCCACACAGCAGTCCTACTCATGGGCCTTCTAAAATGTAAATTAGATCCTTTCCCTTCACCTCCACCAAATGTATTGCTTTTAAAAATGTTCAGAATAAAAAACAGATCCTTTCCATAGACGTCCCTCCATGGTCTAGCTCTTGTCCATTTCTCTGACCTCATCCTCCCCCAGCTCAGGGACTGTCTTGTAGTGAGCACCAGGTGTGTGCCAGGTTAGGCAGGTGCCTCTCCCTACAACTCACCAGTCAAGTATGAGAAAGAGTTTGGTGCTGGCAGATAGAAAGTGATGGATAGGATAGATAGCTCAGTGGTTCTGCAACCTGCCTTGCAAGCTCAAGGGCCAGAGTTCGATCCCCAGTACCAAAAAAAAAGGAAAAAAACAAAACAAAACAAACTCGCCGGGGATTTAGCTCAGAGGTTCTGCTGCCTGTTTTGCAAGTCCGGTACCAACAAAAAAAGAAAAACGAAAGTGATGGACAAATGCTAGATGTCCTGCTTTGTCATTTGTCCAGATGGCAGGAGAGGGACTAAGGGGCTAGGGTGGGGGCTGTAGTCCAGAACAGTCAGGAGTAGAACTCTAGCCCACCGTCCCCCTTACTCACACTCTCAGCCATATTCTAACTCCTGCCTATAGGGGGCGCTTCAGCCAGGAAGAGCGAGTATGCGGAGGGGGTGTGGGCAACGAGATGGCCTCTCCTCAAAGCGGCTGTCCCAGTCAGCATCTGCTTCTGTGGGCTTAATGAGAACTCCAGGCACTCCAGAGACTGCAAATAACTTTGAGGGCGCCACTAACTTGAGCAGCAGGAAGAGCCAAAGCTGCCAAACCTTCAGGGAAGATAAGTGAGGGGAAAGAGGTGGTTTCTACAGCATCGGGCAGATGGAAGGATTTTGCGTGGTGGAGTGTGAGCTCCTCCCCTTCAGAGGAGCTGAAAAAGCCCTGTCCTGTCCCCTCTCTGCACTCTATTTGATTAGGAATTCAGGGGCGGGCCCTGGCCTGGCACCAGGCGCACAGTCTCAGTAGGCACTCTCTCTGTTCTTCTCTGTCCCTCGCTCTGTCTCGCTCACGCGTTCTCCTACCCAAGGAGGCCAGACAGGGGGACGTGGTCACTCTCTGAAAGGTGCACCTTGAGGTAAGTCCAGTCATTTTACTTTGGGGTTCATCCCCTGTGATTCTTAAGAAGAAATAAGATCTAGGCATAGGGAGGAGGGAGACAGGGAGAAGTCATCCTGCCTCCTTCTTACCAGGACCCCAGGGATGGGGACGGGGCAAGGGGACGGAGAGGACTGGTCCTGGCAGGCACAGCTCCTGAATGGGTGTGGGTGGCCTCCAGTTCGCAGGCGTGAAAAAGCCAGGGACCAGGAATCTACAGGAGCTTCTTGGGCCACTTCAGAGAGTGCTCTGTGAGTGTCCTTGAAATCTCTTAGAGAGGGGTTGTGGTACCTAAATACCGTGTGTGTGTGTGTGTGTGTGTGTGTGTGTGTGTGTGTGTGCGTGCGCGTGTTTCCTGGAGCGAAAGGAGATAATAATAAAGAGAAGAGTCGAGCATTGGACGGGTCCAGGGGGCTGTGGATCGAGCTGGGGTCTCGCCCAGGTGAGGGGCTTGACCTCCTCCGCTCTGGTCAGTGGCTGGGAGAACGCTTTCCCTAGATGGACACATAGCACAGAAGTAGTGGTTCCTGACTGCCAGTCCTGGGAACCCTGCATCATTCGAACTCTGAGCAGAGTGGTCTCTAGCCCGATGGAAGAAAACCTAACAGGGTTCAGCCCTGAAGCATCCAGGCTGAGATGGGGCAGGAGGAGGACAGGCGCACACACACCCCACTCAAACTCTCCCAGCAGCCAGAGCTCTAAGGAAAAGCTAAAGTGGCATTGTGCTCAACCCTGGAAAGCTGGGTCTGAGGAAGGTGGCTCTTGTCTGCCAAGGTGCCCAGTCTGGAAGAAGGAGACGTGGAGACAGAGGCTCACTGTGCAGCCAACAGACAGCTACCTTGGTCCTGCAGCAGCCCAGTGCTATGCGTGGAAAAATGTGCTTTTGGCAGTGGGCCGCCCCATCCTTTTCTCCTGGCCACAGCCAGCGACCAGCCAGCATGCCCAAGCAGTGGGCAGTTGAGTTTGCCTCTCAGAAATACTGTAGCTCTTTGTCTGAGGCCTGTGGCAGCCCAAGGATAGGCCAGGGTGCTCGCTCCTCAGCAGCCTGGGAGCTGATAATACGAAGCAGCCCTAAGGACATTTCCTTAGGGGACAGGAAGGGTTGGTGGCCACAGGTGACTCGATGCAGCGTCACTGTCAGGAACCTTCTCATCGGCTCAGTGGGTTTGTTGTTGGCTTTTATACACCTGCCTTACTCCTGTCCCTAGTTGCCCATACTGGCAAGACCCAATAGCACTGTTGGAGGTACAGGTGACTTTCTGCTCTGTCCCAGGGAGACATATTGGAAGAGTCCCACCGCCCACGGGGGCTCGGCAGCAGGCCGACTCCAGGGAGCTGGGGTAGGGTACCAGCCCTTGGTTCCTCATTTTCCATTCCTTCAGCTTCCCTCTCAGATGACCCCAGACCCCACATTTGTCCCCAGCCCTCTCTGTTCTTATGGCATTAGCAGTATAAGGTCAAAAGCAACAGGCTGCCCAGTGATGAGGGGCCTCGATACAGAGCCTGGGACACCAGGAGCAGACAGCTTGAGGCAAAAGAGGACCTGGAACCCCATCCTGAGCCACTTTCCCTTGGGGGATGCCCCTTTTCTAACTCCTATTCTGATTTTCAGGGTCCCCTGTTCATTTCTCTGGGCCCCAGTGGCTGCTGTTTAGCAGGAGGAACACTAAGTGTACACTAGGCCTACAGAAAAGAGAGGCATGAAATAGCCCAGACCTTATACCCTCTGTGCCCACTGTAGACAAATGCCCACCCAGTGCCCATGTCTCCAGTCTGGAGAGGGTCTCTAGCCACTGTGTGGAGACCAGGATGATGTGTAGCAGCATGATGTGTAACAGGATGATGCGTACCAGGATGATGTGTAGTTAGCAGCTGCTAACCAGAGAGTCCTCTAACCCAGAGACTGTTACAGACAACTGCACTTTGGAAGGCAGCCTGGGCCTTGCGGTGGTGACTGCAGAGGAACCATGCCCCTCTCCAGACACTTGGGACCAGAAACCCAGTCAACCCAAGAGCCCACAGATCTCCCAGAAGTAGTTCAGATCTTCCCCTTTGTCTGGAGCATTTTAGGAGGTTTCCCAGGGGCATGGAAAGAGCCAGAGAGCTTTTTCCTGGACTCCTAGTGCAAACTGGATGGGAATTCAAGCCTGAGAGCAGCCCATCACCACCAACAATCCCCCTACACACACACATACACACATCTACATGCTACACAGCTACAACACACTGTCACACACATGCACAGGCAGTGTTGTGGGCTCCCCAGCTTTTGTAACACACCCCCACTCAAGTTCCTCCTGCTCTCACAGATTTTCTATGACTGCCCAGGAGCCATGCACCTTGGGTCACCCAGAGAGCCAGGTCCAGCAGGAGCAGGCATGCAGAGTGGAAGGGGGGTCCCTGCATAGCTGAGTCTGCGTCCCACCCAAGTGCTAGTCCACGCCTCACTGCCCTCCCGCTGACTCATACATGTCCACTTGCTCTGTGCCCTCTCCCTTTCTGCAGCAACAGGATGCAGTGGGTGTCCCTCCTGCTGTTGGCAGGGCTCTGCTCCCTCTCCTGGGCCCAGTATGATGACGACCCTCACTGGTGGTTCCAGTACCTGCGCAGCCAGCAGTCTACCTACTACGATCCCTATGACCCGTACCCGTACCCATATGAGCCCGCGGAGCCCTACCCATACGGTGTGGAGGAAGGACCAGCCTACGCCTATGGCTCTCTGCCCCCACCAGAGTCCCGTGACTGTCCCCAGGAGTGTGACTGTCCCCCCAACTTCCCCACAGCCATGTACTGTGACAACCGCAACCTCAAGTATCTGCCCTTCGTCCCCTCCCGCATAAAGTACGTCTACTTCCAGAACAACCAGATCACCTCCATCCAGGAAGGCGTCTTTGACAATGCCACCGGGCTGCTGTGGATTGCTCTCCATGGCAACCAGATCACCAGTGACAAGGTGGGCAGGAAGGTGTTCTCGAAGCTGAGGCACCTGGAGAGGCTGTACCTGGACCATAACAACCTGACCCGGATGCCCGGCCCTCTGCCGCGCTCCCTGCGAGAGCTCCATCTGGACCACAACCAGATCTCGAGGGTCCCCAACAATGCGCTGGAAGGGCTGGAGAACCTCACAGCCTTGTACCTCCACCACAACGAGATCCAGGAGGTGGGCAGCTCCATGAGGGGCCTCCGGTCCCTGATCTTGCTGGACCTGAGTTACAACCACCTCCGGAGGGTGCCTGACGGGCTGCCCTCAGCCCTCGAGCAGCTGTACCTGGAGCACAACAATGTCTACACCGTGCCTGACAGCTATTTCCGGGGCTCACCCAAGCTCCTGTATGTGCGGCTGTCGCACAACAGCCTCACCAACAGCGGCCTGGCCACCAACAGCTTCAATGCCAGCAGCCTCCTGGAGCTTGATCTCTCCTACAACCAGCTGCAGAAAATCCCCCCTGTCAACACCAACCTGGAGAACCTCTACCTCCAAGGCAACCGGATCAATGGTGAGGGGGTGGAGGGATGGGGCCGGCTGATGGTTCCTGAGTGTCAGTGGCAAAGTACAAAGGGAGAGGTGGGGCAGGGGTGGGGGAGCACAGGAAACCACCAGTCTGGTGCGGCGACACACACCTGCTCTCTGAGCCACACGGGATTCAGAGGCAGGAGCATCACAAGTTTGAGAGCAGCCTGGGCAAGACTTAGCCCCTGTCTCAAAATCTAAAACTAAAAGGGCTGGGTAGGGTAGCGCACACCTGAAATCCCAACTCTCTGGGAGGCTATGGCAGGAGAATTGCAGCCCAGCCTGGTGGGCAATTTAGCAATTTAATGAGACCCTATCTTAAAACAGAATACTAAGAAAAAGGGCTGGGAATGTATAGCTCCGTGAAAAGCCCCTGGATACCAATAAATAAATAGGAAATACTGAATTAAAATTTAAATTTAAAAATGGCTGGGGATGTATCTCAGTGCAAGGCCCTGGGTTTAGTCCTCAAGAAGACGGAGAAGGAGGAGGAGGAGGAGAGGAAGAAGAAGCAACCTGAAAACTAAAGCCACAGCCTGGGGCAACAGGTGCCAAGTAGCCTGTGCTTCTCCCCAGTGCACTGCTAAGAAGGTGCACTGCGGAGGGGGTGGCTTGGAAGACCAGGAGAGGAACATTTCCACCTAGGGCTGGAGAGGTAAGTGGGCTGTGGTGGGAGGGAGGCCCCCTTCCTCCCTCAAAGTCAGTCTGCAACCACGAACCCACAGGGGTTCACCTGTAGGGAACAGGCTCAGTTCCTAGAGAAGGAGATGAGCTCACTTGTAATCCCAGCGCTGCGGGAAGCTGAGGCAGGAAGGCTGAAAGGTGAAGCCCAGCTTGGGCAACTTAGTGGCTAAGTAAGACCCTGCCTCAAAATAAAAGAGGAAAAGGGCCAGGGATGTAGCTCAGTGGTTCTGCTGCCTGCCTCACAAGTTCAAGGTCCCGAGTTCGATCTCCTGTACCATAAATAAATAAATGATGAATAAAAATTAAACAGCTAAAAAGGCCTGGTGCAAAGGCCTTAGGTTCAGTTCCCACTACCAAAGAAGGAAGGGAGGGAGCAAGGGAGGGAAGGAGAGGAGGAGAAAGAGGGACGGAAGGAAGAAACAGCAAGCTTCTAAGGCCCTTCCCGGGAGGAGGGCGGAGCCTGGGCTTCCTCCCTACCTGCAGAGGGGAGCTGTTTCCCCACGACCTACTCCTGCTACACAGCCAGTCTTGTGTTTTGGTCTTTATTTGTTTTTTGAACAGAGCGGCTGGCGGACAAAATGTTCTCCCTGTCAGAGTGAAAGTGGTGTTTGTTCCGGCCAGCTCTCCCGGAGCCCCAGGGGGCAGGCAGAGGTCTTCCCTAGGGTACCAAGAGCCTGGCCCCCACAGGCCTTGGGGTGGGGTGGGGGAGAATTCGGGGCTGCTTATTTTATAAGCACTTTCCTGGGAAATCCCTAAAACAGCTGAAGGCCTGCCTCTCCGTGGTGAGAACTAAAAGATGCATTTCCGGTGGAATAGTCTCATTGCTATTCAGCTTCCTACATCACCCCAGGGCTTCTGATGCCTTAATCTCTGCAGAAAGGTCCTGAGCCAGTATTTGGCCACCCCCAACGCCCCCCTGCACTCTGCTGGGGGAGGGGGCGCTGTGTGTGAGGGGAAAAGGCGTGGAAATGAAGCCTGCTGAGAAGGACTCCGCCATCAAAGCTCTGGGAGAGACTGAGGCCGGCTTCTCCCCCCAAGAAATGACTCAGCTGTTTAGCAAGATGTTAAGTGCTGGCCAGACTCTGAGGAGAGTCACCAGCCTCACAGGACACAGGACAGTGCCAGAGGTGACAGCCCGGGCGGTGGGCAAGCTAGAGAGCCGTCTGCCTGGTCTGGTGGGCTAAAAAGCAGAGCATCCACAGATGTTCCAGACTGGCACTTAGTCTGTCTGTCTCTGGGGTCTTCTCACTCCCGGGGAACGCTGAGGGGCGCTGCAAGCCATTGTGACGTCACAGGCAGAAAGGGTTGGCATTTCCTCCCGGCTCTACCACCCCCCCACTCAGTCACCGCCACTCACCTGCTGCCCAGGAGGCTGTCATAGCAGAAAAGTCACATTGTGCCTCATCCTAGAGTTTGGCCATGAAAATGTGACATCAAAGAGTGGCCGTCCCCGGAAAGGATCCATCAGTTAGTTTCCTGGCCTCCAGCAGTAAAGGGGAGGGTGGAAGTCTTTGTCACCAGTTTCACCTCCTCTCTGTCTCTCTGCAGAACTGTGTCTTGCTCCTGGAGTATGAGGCTTCCCTCCTCTCCCAAAAGTTTTTCAGAAAGTAAAACTACTTAACAAAGTGTCCCAACGTCTTGCAAGAAAGTTCTCTGATCAAACCACATAAGAATGCTCACTGTCTACTCCCACCTCTGTGTGTGCCATTTAAGCCTGTCATTGATTCTCTTTCCCAGTGTTTTTTGTTTGTTACTTGTTTTTGTTTTGGTACCAGGGATCAAACTTGGGACCTTGCACTTTTGAGGCAAGCCCTGAGATTCTATTTTCAAACACTCTTTTTTTTTTTTTTTTTTTTTTTTTTTTTTT